ACTACTGGAGCTGCCAGTTTGCTAGTTTCAAATGATTATTAACATCAAGCACAAACTATGCAAAAGCGGCAGTCTTTTCCGGTGCACTCAGTGTCCGAATTCACTCACTTGTTTTCATTCACTCCTTCAAGTCAATGGTATTAGTGGCCTAATGTAGAGAATAGTGACTGAGGGTATAGGGCAGGGGTGGCGAACGTCGGTCCTGGAGAGCCGCAGCCCTGCAGAGTTTTGCTTCAACCCTAATCAAACACACCTGAACAAGCTAATCAAGGTCTGAAGGGTTACTAGAAAGCTACAGGCAGGTGAGTTTTAATTAGGGTTGGAGCTGTACTCTGCAGGGCTGCGGCTCTCCAGGACTGGAGTTCGCCACCGCTGGTATAGGGGGTGATTTTAGATTTAGAGTTTCAGACGGAATATGGGCAAACAGTGATGAAAAGGTAAAGAAGAGATTGTTTTATTTTTACCTTTACAGTCCACCGAAAAGTCCATTCAGGGAAAACTCTTGATAGTACAGTTTGTAATAACACCAGGCTGCGCAATGCTAAGCTTACATGTTAAGTTTTTGCATGCTGCATTTGTCCAATCAATGAAACTAACCTCAAATATGCAAATAAGAATGTTCACCCAGGTTTTAGGAATATACAGTGTCAAACGTGAGTTTGTGATTTTGAATACCCAAGATTTATTGTTAACCCCTGATAATTTATGAGCAGTGTGAAACGTGAAACAAGATAACCCAGGATTCCATTTACCCGGGGTTTAAAATCACCCAGGGTTATTTTTTGGTGATAACTCCCTACACACTACTTCACAGTTAAAGGGTTAGTTCACCCAAAAAAGAAAATTATGTCTTTAATTACTCACACACGTGTCGTTCCAAACCCGTAAACCCGTATCTTCAGAACACAAATGAAGATATTTTTGATGAAATCCGAGAGCTTTCTGACCTTGCATAGACAGCAATGGAATTACCATATTCAAGGCCCAGAAAGGTAGTAAGGACACCGTTAAAATAGTCCATGTGACATCAGTGGCTCAACCTTAATTTTATGAAGCTACAAGAATACTTTTTGTGCGCAAAGAAAACTAAAATAATGACTTTATTCAACTATTTCTTCTCTTCTGTGTCAGGCCTCAACGCACGTTCACGACAGTAGGCTACCACGCATGTGTGCACGATGCATGTGTGAGCATTCCACTGCTTGTAAACGAGGCTCAGTACATCCTAGGGGTTGCACCGACTAATCGACTACTCGACTAGTCGACTTCAATGCTCTGCCATGACGCTTTAAGCTTGACGTCGACTAGTCGCTGGTCCTATAGAGGGCGCAACAGGATAAGAAATCTTTGAAGGACTTCCACATTTACGCTCCGTTTCCAAACAGTTCAAATGACAAATAAATGCATACTCTGAAAGCGCTCCACGAGACATGTAAGATTATATTACTGGATGCTCGAAATTTAAACAGCTTATTGCACAGGTAAATTAATCGCCATTCTAATCTAATGTGCTGCTGCACTGTAACACACACACATAGGCTACAGACAGTAGCGCGTACATCACACGCACAGAATCATTCAGCGCGGAAATGTATTGTCAACACTGTTCTGTGATTTCTCAATAAAATAGCTTAGAAACTGAAAAGTTCAAGCATTTATTTCTTAATAACTAAATCCCACAGCTTCACTACTAGTAGAGAGACGCTGCCAGGTAGAATTAATTCACACACGCAATCGCTCTCACTAATGTATTCATATTAATGTAATCTTTACTGTGCTACTTTTTCTGTATCTGATTTAGAATGAGCAGAAATATGTGAGAAATATAACGACCCAAATACAAAAGAACTGTTAAAAATTAGCTGTTATAGGAGCAATAGCCATGTGGGCAGCGCGGTGTCATATGCCATAGCTGTGCACAAGGTGTTTATCACAGCTCCAGACTTATTTGTTCATTAATGACGTCATCAGCGACTAGTCGACTTCGGCTCGACTTTCATCACATAAAAGTCGACTTCAAAAAATCAGAAGTCGTTCAACCCCTAGTACACCCTGATGCTATGTCAGAATGCTGGCTCCTCCATCAGCAGTATCACACGCATGCGTTGTGGTACCCCTGCCTTACGGGTTTGGAGCGACATGATGATGGTGAGTAATTAATGACAGATTTTTTATTTTTTGAGTGAACTATCCCTTTAAAAATTAAGGGCAAGAATGACATGATGCAATTAGCACACATTCAGCATGACATCGACAGCAGCTGGCATGACCAAAGAGGAAATCATCTGTTCCTCGACTGACCGACATCGACATTGTCTATATTTGACTACTCTGTTGTTAAGCTGGAAGAATGTCTGATATCTACTCACGTGGAAACAGAAATTAATGCCACAAGGGGAAAGCAACTTCATGCCAAATTCAAATTAAGGTCAAGCTATATTATTGCTGTTGTTTTTAGGTTTGCGTGTGTATTTCTTGTTTAGAACTGAAGAAGATTTTAATTAGATTTTAAGTAGTGGTCCATAACAAAGGCCAAATAACACACGTTTTTGTACATACATACATTATTTTTAAAACAGGCTTACCTTTTCAACAGGAGTTGCCTGGGATGCCTTTTGCAAAGGTTTTACATTGTGACCCTTAGCAGGCATCCCAGCTTCCAGTCTCAAAGATGTAGTCTCAAGTGGTTTTGAGGTAGCACAATGAAAAATGGACTCCCGGCTGTCGAAGAGCCATTCCTTTTAGTCATGGCTTGAGGATTTCAGAATGGTTTTCCAAACACATCCTTTTGCTCATGTAATGTGTAGTAAGTAAAAATGTATATTAGTATATAGCCTATAGTTTATGTGTGTACAGTAGACACATATACTGTATAGTAGATATGTGAGCGAGTCACTGAATCAAGCACTCAATCAATTCATTAAAAAATGCTAATTCATTAAGGAACGAATAACACTACTGTGCTCAGATATGCAGATCTGCTTTGAAATTGGTTGGAACTATTTTGGAGGAGCAAAAATAGACAAAGTAACTGGCAATACTAAAATATAAGTGACTTGCCTTGTTTACTGCGCTGTTGTATAAAGCAAAACAGTTGTATTCAATAAACACAAGTATGACTGATAATTTGTTATCCTTATAAATAGATAAGGCAGATATTTAATGCCATATATTTTATGCAGTGTTATTTTAGTATAATTGATATACTAATATAGTTTTTGTTAATATTGTTAAATAGTTTTTTTTCTGTTTTAACTTTAATTTTACTTGAATCATTTTGTTGTGTGTTTTTGTCATTTTTATTCGTTTTTATTTTCATTTTATTTATTAATTTTGTAATTTATCTTAGTGTTTTATTTATTTTGAAGTACTTCAGCTTGAAATGGAGCTCAGAAATGGTGACTGGCAACTAGCTGAATCAAAATTATTTTTTTTTTACTTTAATTATATTTCAGTGGACATTCATTTTATTTTTAATTATTTTTATGTTTGTAGTTTTAGTTTAGTTAACGATAATAACCCAGATATTATGTAGGAAATTCTTGAAAATCTATTGCAGTAGATATTGTGGAGATGAGATAGTTATAGAATATATAAACATTTGACTTGTCTAAATGTCTCATTATCACCCACACCTTATTTGCCCTTTTAATTCAGCTGCATACAGAATTACTGCTATAACCCTCTAATAACTCCATAATCTAGTTTTCCCTGTCAGACTAGAGTTTCTGAAAAGTGTGGAATGGATTTTATGTTGGACTGAAGAGTACACTTTTTATCGAAACTACGCGCCACCTAATGGTAATTTCAATGACATTTCTAATAGGCCCAGAAACACACATACACACCCACTTACTCACACACACCATAAACAACAACAATAATACATGAATATGTTCCTGCCTCATATGGTCTTTTGATACTTCTCTTTGTTAATATATCTTTCAAGACTTTAATGATTTGTCAAACACAATTAGGGAGAGAGAACCAATTTAAACCAATTGATTTATTTGATATGTGACTTTCAGATAGATGTGTGCTTTAAAAAACATTATTCAAATAAATGTGGAATGGAAAAAGCATTTGGACATGTTTTAGACATTTTCACAGATTTTTACAAAAAGCAAACCCACACTGCCCTCCTCTGGCCACTAGTAAAACTAAACACACTGAATGATCTGACCAACAAAATGAGTCGATTTCAGAAATACAATAACCGATCATGGCCAAGTGAAAATGCATTATCATACTTTAAAACAGGGTTGTCAAACTCAATTCCTGGAGGGCTGAAGCTCTGCAGAGTTTTGATTCAACCCTAATTAAACACACCTGATCCAACTAATCAAGTCTTATTTAAAACCTACATTCTATGTGTGTTTGAGCAGGGTTGGAACAAAACTCTGCAGGGCTCCACCCCTCCAGGAATTGAGTTTGACACCCCTGCTTTAAAACATCAATATTCATTATATACAGTGGAAAAGTAAATGTACAGGTAGAAGAAGCACATTATTATTAGTATTATCTTGAGCATTATTTGAACATCATGTGAATTGTCAAGAGGTGTGCTGTGCACTACCAAAGTAACACGGAAATGTCCAAAGTGTTGTCTTGCAAAGACAATGTGATGCTTCCTCATCCACCAGATTTTAAAGAAGGGCTGCTGCTGTAAGTCAGGCTTTTGCAAACATTGCATGCAAACCAAATTAACCACAAACTCACCACATAAGCATTTGCACATATCAACCTCTGTCGTACCTATTTCTGTCTCATATGCACACAACCACTAAACTGAATGGAAAATTTGTGGTTAAGATTGGTATCTTTTTAACTAAGATTTAAGCAAGACCATTTCTTGAGAAAAAACACAGACAGCGCAACTGAGTAAAACTCCTTTGAAGAGAAACTCTGATGCTTTGAATACTTGATTCAAGTGTGATTTGATTTCAATTTGGTTTTAACTGTTCAACAAAATCAAATGTACAATTAGTAAACAGGCAGATCTAACATGCACCAGTCTGAAGGAAAATAACAAAAAGAAAAACAAAAATGTATGTCACTACAGAGGAGTAACCAAAATTGGGCATCTGTCTTTTTTCTTTATAGTATTAAGATCATTTTAAGACTGCCTGCTCACTTGTCACAAGCTGCTTTCCAAAAACAGTAACCTACTCAGCATGGGCTTATTGTAATTGGACTTATTGTAAAATTGAGTCAGATAAATGTTGCAGTCATTCAGTTTCAGAGAAATATACACACATTAAACTAAACATCACTTAACACAGGAAACCCATTTCTACATCCTGTTATTCAGATTATCACTGTGAGCCCACAAAGACTGTACTAAAGTGCTTTTATTAGAGAGAAGGAAAAACGTGTACTGCACTGAGTATCAGACTAACAACTTTACAGGTTTTAATTTTTAGCTCATAAAAAAATCTAAAGTATCCAATTACATATCATTTACTTCCATATGTAATAGAATAAGCTCCTCTACCTTGTATGATTACATGTGAAGTTACATGATAATGAAGCCAACAACTTTTAGAATCCACCTCAGTTCTATTTTAGGTCTATTCAGTTTACGTTCTGACCTGAGCATAAGTACTGAAGTCAGAACTCTGCACTCGCTTTGTCTTGCGTTGTTTTTGTCTCTTGGTGATCACGTCTAAAGATGCATAACACACCTCTTCATCCATGCACTAAAATGAAAATTTAAGAAATTATGTTTTAGTTATATATATATATAAAGAGAGAGAGAGAGAGAGAGAATGTAATATTCGTATTGTACATACCTCAGCGGTATTTCTACCTTTTAACTTGTCTTTTTGATCTCTCACAGCATCTATGGATTGTTAAATTAGAACATCACTTACATACATAAATGGTTTAAAGTTAATGCCCTTATGGTTATGTTACATTTACGTTTCTAACATCACTATTACATTTTGTGTGCAGGCTTTGCTCATCCAAATCATGCTAATTGTCAAAGGTTGGTGATCTGTATATTAAAGTAGAAAACACAAAGGTTTGTGAATTAGTGCATGATTACCTGTAGTTTTCTTAAAACAGAAGCAGAACACACAGATGGAGAAGAGGAGAACACACACCGGACAAACACTGAAAAGAAGCGCCCAGCAGAGCACACAACCGGACACACACTGAACAGCAGCGTCCAGCAGAGCACACAGTCAGGAGGTGCAGAGGGTTCAGAACAGGAAGTCACTTGTTCAACATAAACACAAATGTATTAATACACATATTGTTGTTCTGTTCATCTTGTGTTTTTCCCTGAGAAAAGTAAAGTTCTTCAGAATTACATAATCAATGATATAATAACTAGCAGAAGTGTTTCCTTACATTCCAGAGAGAGACGAGTTGTTCGGTTTCCATAATAGTACACATTTGATGAGGAGATGATGCCTTTTTCATCTTTATTTACCTTATTCTCTTGTTCTGCACAGTAGTACAGTCCCAGATCAGAGACACTAGTATTAGTAATATGTAGATCATAAGAGTTGTTGTAGCGGTTGTAGATAGAGCTGAAACGCTGAAATATCTTCAGTTCCCATTTCGTAAAATCTATTATGAGAGACGGTTGATTTTCATGAGAGCAGTTTCTTATCCATAAAATGAGGGAACCGTAAGTTAAAGAGCGATCACAGTAGAGAGTGATGTTGTCTCCTGGTCTGACTTTCATCTCCACTTCTTCTCCATAGATTCTTGTCTGATGGAACAGTAAAACTGTAAAAGAACAAAACAACTTTATAAACGCTTCAAATTGTACTATTATATAAAAAATATGCACAGTAGTGACATTTCGTTTAAAAAACAGCTGAAGAAGTATAATTTTTCTTACACATAAGCACGATGAGAGCAAGTCTTGGCCTCTCCATCTTAGTGAGCGATTGAGAATAACTGACACTGGTGAGGGTCTCAATGTAGACGTCAGCTCTCATCTGATTGGTTCACGTCAGCGGAAAGTTTTACCTAAAGCGGCCCGCGTCATGAGGGGTTGGCAGTAGACTGAGTTGTTGTTTGGACGTACAAAGAGTGAGAGCAGTTTTAATCAGTCACCAGTTACCATATATACATTTTATTCCTAGTTGGCTTTGTGGTCAGCCACCTGATTGGTTCAAATTGGAAATGTTCAAGATTAGTTTATCTGCTAGATATTTTTAGCAATATCTTTTATTCAAACTTGCAGATAAGCATAAAAATAAAATACAAATATAAATAAGGTGCTTTACATTTAACTTGCAATCAACCAGTCAGTTCATGCCTGTCATGAGTGTCTAGTCTTTTGAATCAAAGTTCACCTGCAAAATTCATTCTTTGTTTTATTGTAATAGGTTCAGTTCAACATCTAAACATGTAAAAACAGGAAACCCACAAGCCTTTTCTTCAGACCGCTTACAAACACTTCACATTTGCAACACGTCATGAGACTCTCTCTTCACATCTCTTAGTTGATCATTGGTCAGCAGGCACAAATGTTTCCATTACCTTTGTGTGGTTTTGTGTGTAGCTTAGAGTGCATGTATTTGCACAAGGGAAGCTTGCTAAAATCACCGTGTCTAATGCTCTATACTGTGGTTAAACAGACACTGACGGCTGTCCATCAAGCTAAAATCAGCTATATTAAATTATGAGACAATGCAATTCAACATAACACAAGTGAAGATCAATAAATCATGTCCAACTACAAAATATAAAGAAAAGTGCAATGTTAGCAAGACTTACTGGTCCTTATGGGTAAAATAGGTCTATGGGAGTATAAAAACAGCAGTTTTTTAATATTGAAAGGGAGTGAAGAACCATGCATATGTCCCATACTTCTTATGGTCAAACTTACACTAGACAGTAAATTAAAGAAAGCAAATGCTTTCAAATATTTGATACGTGATTCGAATGAACATGTGGTGTAAATTGGACAATATTTCACAAGATGCTAATACAGATGTGGTTTTTCTTAATACTTCCTCAACAAACAGGAAGCACAACCACATATAGGCCTACTTCATGTATCAGTAATGACACAGATGTCTGTTGTTCAGAGTGTTCAGCACTGGGAGCTGTCCAGTGTGCTGAATCTCTTCTGAAAAAAAAATCTATGTGATTAAATATGATGAGAAATAGGAAAAGGATAGTTAAAATTCCGTCAGTTACTCATCCTCATGTCACTCCAAACGACTATAAAATTATCAGTAGTTCATATTAATGGGATGCATTCCATGTTTTAAAATCCAAATATAGCTGCAAGCAGGGATGATGGGCCCAAGCCCCAGTGCCACGCCGGTGGCATCAGGAAAACAGTGCACAGCGGCCACATACATTTAACCCACAGCAATGAAAGGGTCCGACCCCACTCGTCACAGATACTCATCCATCAGAGGGTATAAAGAAAGTCTGCAGCTGCAAAACAAGCCTTTGCAGACATTGAAAGCATAAAAACCGAATTCACCACAAACTCACCGCATAAACATTTACAGACACAAACCAACCTCGGTCCTTTCTACTTCTGTCTCATATGCAAACAAGCATTAAACTGAATGGAAACATTTGTGGTTAAGATGGTTATCTTTTTAAACAAGAATAAGACAAGACCTATCTTTGAGAGAAAACAAAGACAGGAGAGTAAAGCTCCTTTGAAGATCAAGTTCAAAATTTATTTCTACGTCATTTCATTTTAAATTTAAAATTGACATAATCTAGGTTTTCTAGTTTCCTTTATAGTTTGTTAGATAGAACTACATTTTCAGATTACCACTTGTTTTTTTTAAACCGCTGGACATTTGCACATTCTCATGTTGTCTGTCTGCTTGTCTCCTGCTGTTATTCAAACACACAAACCTACTCAGCAGCCCCAAAATGCTTATTTCTCATCCAGCATGGAGTGAGATTTAGGGAAATCTGATAAGGTTTACTGAAAAAAAAATTAGTCAGATAAATATTGCGGTCATCCAGTTTAAGAGAACTATTCACACCTTAAACTAAACTCCACTTAAAACAGGAAGCCCTCTTCCACATCCTGCCATTCTGTGTGTCCACAAAGACTGTATGGAAACATACTTTCTTTTATTAGTAAAACACTTTTACTAATGGAAAATGTTTTTATTTGTCAATTCATATACATATAATTCTTGCTTCATATTTGTATCTTAGACACATTTTAACCAACAAACATGCTAATAACATGATGTTTCAATGATACTGGCTCCTGCAACTTTCTAATCTTTTCCGTTTCTGTTCTAACAGGAACGTAAGTAGTGAAATCTGAACTCTGCACTCGTGTTTCCGTGTGTTGTTTTTGTCTTCTGTTTATCATGTTTACAGATGTATAACACATTTCTTCATCATCATTCTCCTGGAATAAAAATTTGTTTTGTTTTCATTATTTATAACATATTTATTACAGTTATTATTACACTATATAAAGACTTATGTAACATATATAAATAACTTGGGTATACTTTACACTATAGTCCCTTAACTTAACATTAGTTAATAATTGAACTAACAATGAGCAATATATTTGTCACAGTATTTATTAATGTTTGTTAATTCTGATCATTGTTAGTTCATGTCAGCTCAGGTCCATTAAATTATATTAACAAACAGAGATTTAGATTTTAATAATGTATTTGTAAATGTTGAAATTAGCATTAACTAAGATTAATAAATGCTTTAGAAGTTTTCTTCATTGTTAGTTCATAGTAACTAAAGTAGTTTGTCATTGACAGAATCTGTTTATCTGTTCATTAAAGTAAAACCGTGGAAGTGCAAAAAGACAGCATTAATCTGTGAATAATGACCAGTAGTTGTCCTACAATGGAAGCAGAACACACATATGGAGAAGAGGAGAAAACACAGCGGACACATACTGAAAAGCAGCGTCCAGCAGAGCACACAGTCAGGAGGTGCAGAGGGTTCAGAACAGGAAGTCACTTGCTCAAGATAAAATAAAAACAAATGTATCAATGAATGCTAATATAAAAAAATTGTCCTGTTCATCTGGCTACTTCACTAAAAGAGGTATTACCAAGGTCCATAATTACACAAGGAATTATATAATAATAACTGGTAGAAGTGTTTTCTTACCTTCCAGAGAGACGAGTCATTCGGTTTACATAATAGTACACTTCTGATGAGTAGATGAAGCCTTTTTCATTTTTATTTAACTTTTCTCTACATCTGCACAGTAGTACAGTCCCAGATCAGAGACACTGATATAATAAGAGAGCAGCATGACAAACAAACAGGGGGAAAACAGTCACCAAACTTACCTGGATTGAGGAGTTACCACTTTCAGAGCTCACCTTTACAGACACCATCTACGAACTTTGGATTACACTTTCTGTGGATTGTGCATACACTGGTGGACACTCACATTGGACTTATCAACACACTGGGATTCTTGGACTGTTTTAGGGTATGGACAAACGAACTGTATTCTTTTAACAGACTGAGTTTACCTGGTTTTATCGTGTTGTTTTAAAGTCTTTTATGTGAACATTGTAAATACACCAATCCTATTTAAACCAACCTCCTTTCATGTCTCATTCTTTTAACCACTAGTCATCTCTCACAGTTAAATCTGACCCCATTGTACTCTTGTAACTCGGCTGATAAGCCTGAGCGTTACAACGGTCAATTTTTTTAATGCTTAATTTTCTGAAATGGAACATCCTCAATGAAGTATGCGGCAAATGCAACCTCAGGAGGTCAAATACAAAGCAAAGTTTGATTTATTATTGTCAGATGTGGCTTAATACTTTCTCGATTTTGTGGAGAGACAGCCACACATACATAAAAAAATGTTCAGCAGATGTCTGTTATTCAGTCCCTATTTACCACTGATATATAACTACTACTTTATACTGCACTAATGTCAGTGTTGCATGTTATATTAAATACAATTATCCTACTATAATTAAAAAAATAAATATTGAATGCATGCTGTTTGTTATATCACAATGTATTTACACTGTACAATTAATATTTGTGTCTTGTTTACATGAATTGAAAAAAAAACTGAAATTAAGAAAAATGTTAAAACACTTCTTATATTAAATTAAGCAAAAACACATTCTGAGAATTTATTAAATAGTATGTTCTTTGTTTGGAACATAAGATGACATGCATCAAACATCAACATAAACATCAATACATGCGTAAAATAAAGGTACCGGTTTGGGGGAATAAAGCCAAGTGTAGTTGAATGCCACAGGAGAAAATGCCACAAAGAATATTTTATTCTGTCATCATTTTGAAAATTATCTGGTGTAAATTACTACTGAATAACATTTCTTTTTTTAAACTGTAATTTATGTTCTTTTGGTTCTGACCTCAGAATAAACACTAAAGTCTGAACGCTGAACTGTTTTTTTCTTCAGCTTTTTCTGCCGTATGGAAGGCATGTCCAATGAAGCGTAGCACACTTCATCGCCATCCTGGAAAAACATATTATATTATATTATATTATATTATATTATATTACATTATATTATATTAGTATACAGATGTAAGTTATGTCGCTTTAAAATGCCAAAAAAGTGTAAATAATTTCTATTTAAATCTTCTTCAGGTTGTGCACATATAAAACAATACCTCAACATGTCTGTTCGTAGTCTGTGTTTCAGCGCCAGAAGCTACAGGAAATTAAAATAACAAAAGAGTCAACTTGGTTCAGATCAAATTAAGTGAGATTTAAAAAGCTCAACTGACTGATCAAAGGCATTGCATAAAGTTTCCATTACTCTGACTGTGACATCAGTTAATATGTGATACTCTAAAGCAAATCTAGAGCTGTAATAACATCTGGCACATCATAGCTGCCATCAGAGACACTGACGTTTGTAATATGTAGATCATAAGAGTTTCTGGAGCTGTTGAACACAAAACTAAAACGTGGAAACTTCTCCTTGAATATTTCTGAAGAATCTATGAACAGAGATGG